GATTCATTTATTTATGCATATAAGAACTGGGGTATAAGCCAGAGGTGCAGGGGGTGAGATAATTAATCAGAGAGAATGGGGAGCAGAACAGGCAGACTGACTGAAACACACTGCTGAGGGGAGCAGCGTACACAAGTCAGGAGAGATCTGCTGTGCCATGTGGGCAGCTCCCTGGCTGGGATCAAACTCATGCTGCAGTAGCTGGCAATAGCTTGATAGCACTGTCTTTAACCCCTGCGCCACCAGGGAGGCCCCGAATGGGAAGTTTAAAAACAGAGTGACAAATGATGTGCAGAGAGGAGTCCAGATTCAGAGAGACTTGGCTCTGATCTCATTTCTGCGGGTCATCTGGGATAATCCAGCTTCCCTGAGCCTCAGTTTCCACCCTGTAAAATGGGGGGTGGTTGCCCATCACATAGGGCTGTCCTGAGGCTGGACTGAAGTCACTCATGCCAGGGCCCAACAGTTGTTGTCAGTGAAAGCCCATTGAGCTTTGCAGCTTAAAGGCCATTTGAATATGTTTTGCTCAAGGTAGAAATAAGGACTTCCTATTCAATTCAGCAATTGTGTCTTGAGCTCTCACTCTGCCCGGGGCACCAGCACGATGCCTTTCTTAGCTGTGACTGAGTCCATCTCTGAGGGGGCAGGATCCCCATTTGCGTTGCAATCACACTGCCTAGCATATAGTAGATACTTAATAAAATGTTGGTGTCTGGATAGATGAATAAATAACTGCTTTGTTCTTAGCTCCTAGGACAGTGCCTGGCATATAGTAGGTACTCAATCAACACTTGGTTGGCTGGAGGAGGGGATTGTGCATGGGAAAAGAGTGCCCAGAGTTCTGACTAGCTTTATCAGAAGAAATACTTGGCTCCACTTGCCTTCCCTGTGAGGCCTTCCTCCTCCGTTGACACATACGGACTGTTGCCCTTCTTTGTCTTTGTATTGTTGCAGGGGCCAGAATGGGGGGGCAGGGAAGGTCTTTGTACTTAAGAGCTTATGATGATGGTGAGAAACCGGATCTTGGTGGGAGAACTTTCACCTGTCAAGGGTGGTTGGTGGCCTGGCTGGAGGGTCCTTGAGTCTGTGGATGGAGAAGGGCTGAGCCTGGGAGATCGTGAGCATCTTTCTGGAGGAGGCTCAGGACAAGGTCAAAAGCAGACATTTGTCAAAAGAATTGGGGTGTGGAAGGAAGTTAAAACTTGGGTGAAACATGGACTGGGGAGATAGGGAGCCACAGTCTGGGGGTTGCCAGTGGTTGTGGGGTGGGGCTTGAATGTTGCACATGGTTTTGGCTTCATATACTGGAGCTGATATGAACCTTGGGAGAATTTCATATGAAACGTGGTTCATAGCAGTGTGCTCGTCAGACCTTTCTTATCTCCCAGCGCCCATCTCTTACCCTGGCCACTTTCTGCCTCTTTCCTCTCTTGTGCTTTGAGAGCTTCCGAGAAAATAAACTGTCATTTTCAGGTCTTCTGTTTTCTAAGAGGTGAGTGCAGGAAGCTGGCCCTTCACTTCTCTGGGGTCCCAGATGTGAACATGAATGTGTTATTTGCTTTATCACACACTCAGAGGGTTTACACGATCAACACAATTTAAGCCCGAGTCATGGAACCAGATAGGCCTTCTTATCCCACCTTACAACTGAGGAAACTGATTGCGCAGAGAGGTCAAGAAATCAGCCCAAGTTCACACAGCAGGAAGCCTTGGAGTAAGCAACACAGTGTGTGCCAGATCCTAAAACCTGTTCTTAAAAACACAAATGTAGACATAATACTTTTATGTATTTAAAATTGAAGTAGTGAAATAGTCAGTACACATAGTATTTGAAATAGATTCAGAGACAACCAGAAACGTTGAAGGGTGCTGCCTCTGGGGGGCAGTTAGGGAGTGAGCCAGGGTGGGGACCACTGCTTTGACTAAAATGTCTTTTAGCACCTTTAGACAGTTTTTTAATATGAAAACTCATGTCACTGCACTCCTTTTACAGAAAATAGGATTAATTTTAAAAGAACAACTGTCTATTTCACTATTCAAACCATCTTCCAGTTCCTTCAGTGGGAGAAGCCCCCAGGAGCTGCAGCCCTCGCCAGCAGCCTAGGGAGGTGTGCCCCGAGTACTAACGGTCATGTGGCACCCCCAGCTTGGTGGCACCCAACTTGTAGAGCAATCTGCAGCTGGAAGACACAGCGGCTGTGTCCCCATGTGTGCAGGAAACAGGGTGGCACCCAGGAGCAAGAGGACTTGGCTCTCAGCCACGGTGCTCCCCTGTGAAACTGTAGCCTCAGCCAACCCCACAGGGGACCCATGGGTGTCCCTGGGTGCAGAGACTGGGACCCACCCACACTTTGCCCCAGTGCCAACCCCTGACCTGGCGCAGAAGTCACTCAGCAGACCAATGCCTGCCCTTCAGGAGCCCCTGGTCGATGTCAGGGAGACAGCTGCTTATCCAGACAAATTTCCCTAATTATAGATGGTGGCCAATCCTCTTAGAAGATTCATTTTGCTGAGAGAATTGGTGACAGAGATGGCTTCCCTGAGGAAGTGATGTTTGTGTTGAGCTCTGAGGAGTGGAGGTGCATCAATCTGGCAGAGAGACTGGGAATGGGTTTCTAAGCTGAGGGAACAGCATGGGGAAGGGCTAAAAGAAGGAAAGAAGTGGACTGTCCAGGGCTGGCTGGCCCAGATGTCAGCATGGGCAGATGGGAGGGAGGGAGGTGGGGAGAGGGGGTGGTGGGAAGAGGGAGAAATGGGGAAGCAGGGAGAAGGGGTGTGGGGAGAGGGGAAATGGGGGAAAGGAGAAGGGATATAGGGAGGAGAGACCAGGGAGGAGGGATCCAGGGGGAGTGGGCATAGGGAGGAGGGATCCAGGGGGAGTGGGCACAGGGAGGAGGGATCCAGGGGGAGGGACGTAGGGAAGAGGGATCCAAGGAGGTGGGATCCAGGGAGGAGGGATCCAGGGAGGAGCCTGGGGCCCTGGTCCTGGCACTCTGTGCTGGAAGAGGGCCTGGGAGCTCTGGGGGCTGGACTGTCCTCTATGGGCAAAGGGGAAATCCCCCCAGGAGTGGGACAGAACTTGTGGGAAACACTCAGGGAGCTAAGTCCCATGGAAAGGTTCACGAGGTCTCTGCTGTCCTTACTAAAGTTACTTCCCACAGTTAGAATGCACCATTTAAGCTAATTCGTTGTGGAAGTGTTGCAGCGCCTGTATTTGATTGGATGCTGGTCGACTCAGAGTGGGTTAAGTAATGTCTGCTAAGACACATAAAAGTCATCCGAGGTTGGGTCAGGGGCAGCTGGTGCAGTTCTCAGAGGCCTGTATGACAGACATGCTGCGCTCCTGCAAGGTCCCTGCTCAGAAAGAGAAGGGCCTCCCTGGTGGCGCAAGGGGTTAAGACACAACCTATGAAGCAATCTGCAGCCACTGCAGCACGAGTTCAATCCCTGGCCAGGGAGGTGACCCACATGGCGCAGCAGACCTCTCCTGGCTTGCCTGCTGCTTCCTTCAGCAGTGTATTTCAGTACATCTGCCTATTCTGTTCCCCACTCTGTCTCTGGTGGATCCTCCCACCCTCCCACACCTCTGATCTGTACCCTGGTTCTTATATGCATAAATAAATAAATCTTAAAAAAAAAAAAAGACAGGGAAGGGGTTCTCTGATCTTCTCACCCTTATGAGAGCATTAAAATCACCCAGGGAACTCTTAAAAAAATCCAGCCTGGGGTCTGTTCCACATCATTTGTAGCCCACAGGGGAGGGAAGCAGAGCATGATTCTTTTTCTGAGGCTTCAGTTTTCTGAGGCTCAGTGAGGGTGGAGAACAGAGCCAGCTCTATCTCGGTGGCTTTTATTTAAATTTTATTTTACATATATTTTATATTGTTCTTCCTTTTTGTATCTTGGTGGCTCTAGCTGAAGGAATGACATCAGGCAATGTCTGGAGACATTTTTGGATAGTGCAAGTGGGGAGAGCAGTTGCTGGCATCTAATGGGTAGAGGCCAGGTATGCTGCTAAACACCTGCCAGTGGACAGGACAGTTCTTCCAACAAAGGATGATTTAGCCCCAGATGTCAATAGTGCTGAGGTTCAGAAATCCTGCTCTATTGTAATCCACCCACTTGACAGATAAGGACACTGAGGCACAGACAGGCTGATGGCATGGACCTGAGGTCACACAGGGAGTATGTGGACAATGGGACAAGCAGGACCCATGAACTTGTTTCTGGATTCTGTACCTGGTGTGTTTAGAGACCACTGGGCCAGATTCTCTAGGTCAAGTTGATTGAGTTGATTTTGGGGAATGTAGTTTGACCCACGCTGGGATTTTCCTGAGGATCTGGGGGACCGCACAACCTCTAGAATTTGCTCATTTTCCCCTGTGAAGACCCCAGACAATTTCCATCCCTTTAGAAGTTTTGACCTCAAAAGATGGTTGCAGAGAAAGCAAGGGAAGTCTGTTTTTATGTCACTGTTGGGATGGGCCTGAGGAAGTCTCCCCCCATACCTCTGGTCTTGGACCACCGAGGGTCTGTCCGTTTGTCTGTCTTTCCATCCGGTGGCTGTCATCTGAGCTGTGCAGGACTGACCAGGGGACCAGACTAATTACAGGCTCGGGAAGACCAAGCAGGGATTAGAGATGGCGGGCAGGCGGGTGTCTGGGGCCAGGATGGTACCTGATTAGTTAAATTGCCAGCACCTGCTTGCTTTTATTGCAAACATAAACACGGCCGTGCAGACAATTGCTTGCGAGCTAATGCTTTCCGTGTTTGCCACATCTGCAAGGTCTAGGGTCTGGCAGCGGGGAAGCTCAGGCCGGGGTAAAACAGGGAGGCAGAGGGGTTTGGGTGAAAAGGCACTGGATTAGGAATGGCGGGGAGGGAATTTACACTTGGTGAGGCAGCCCCTGTGGCAGACACCACAGGAGGCCTTTCTATTCCCATGCAAAGACATCTGACCCTCAAAGCCTCCCTGTGAAATATTATTACTTTTCTTATAGGGACTCAGAACAGTTGAAAAATATTCTACAAGTGATCCATCCAGGAGGCAGCTGATATGAGCTTTGAACTCGGGTCTTTCTGCCTCGTCTCCAGAGCTGCTGCTTTCTCCTTCCCCGGTGTATGGAGCCTGGGTTTCCCATTCTGTTTTATTCAACTCTGCCACTGCAGTGCCAGGAAACCGGCCATCATTTGCATGTGTGTTCAGGAATGGACAGCAGTTTCTGGCCCTCCGGGAATTTGCCAGGTGACCACTGGCTCCCTGTATGCTCCTCCCAGGCCTCAGTTTCTACATCTGTAGAATGGTCCCCCAGTCACCTGCTGCTCATGGGTCCCAGGAAAGAGATGTTGGGGTGTGGATGCTAGACCCTTGAACAGGTCTGAGCTCAAGTCCAGCACTGATTGCAATCACCCACGTTTGCCACAAGTTGCTCCCTTCCACAGTGTCGCGCTGCCCTGTGGCTGGGCCTGAAGGCGCTGGCAGGACCCACCGCAGCCGGCAGCAGTGATTCCGGCCAGCAACTGGCTGACAAGATGAACGCCGGGCCGTGGAAACCATTTCAAATTAACTCCGTCTCCATTACAGGCGCTTTTATTAAGATAAACTATTTGGGGGATGTTTACAGGCGAGAGCCCTCCGGTGCCGGCAGAAGGTCAGAGGGAAGTCGGCGGGACTGCACAATTGTCGTTCGAAGCTTCCACTTCTCCCGAATTCAAATGTGCGTCTCTCCCTCCAGTGACAGGAGCTTCAAGCCTGTGACACGCTTTGTCAGAATTTCATTTGTCCGAGCAGCTTTAGCCTCATTCTTGGCAGATGGGACGATAGGGGAGAGCATGCGTTTAAATTCCCTTCTGCGGTCCTTGGAAATGAAGTGGGGGTACTTCTCCAGCGCTGCATTTCACCTCGAGGAGGAAAACGTGAAATGTGCCCTAGAGTCTGGCAGAAGGGCAAATTTATATTCACGCATTCAATCCATCCATCATTCATTCGGCTGATCACTCATCTCCTTGTTTATCAATTCACTGGTCTATTAAATAATTTGCATCGTCTTTTATTCATTTTCCTAATCAATCACTTTGGATTTTTAATTGGAATCCCAATATCTCGTGTGTCCTTCTGTGCATTGGTGCCTCAGTTTCTACATCTGGCAAGTGGGGAGGAAGATATCATGCAGGGCAGGCCGTGAGCTACCGGGTGAATTTGTGTAAGCACTTGGCCATAGCCTTCAAGATGGGGCTGGTACTGTGAGGTCAGGTGGGGACCAAGTCCACTCCACAGAGGCTAGGGGCTGCTCTTGGGTGCATGAGTGTGTGAACAGGTGGGGCCGAGGCCAGGGCTTCTGCTTCCAGAGCCTGTGTTCATGCCCTGCTCTTCTGCTAAACCTTCGTACCTGTGGCCTGGGCCTATGGACCCAGCCCTGGGCCATAGGGTGGTGTTTGCTGAGTCTAGATCCAAACTCAAATTCCTGTGTCCCCTCAGATTTTTCCACAGTGGCTGCATTCTCTGGGACCCTCCAGTACAATCATAGGCCACCAGTGCACTCACTGCCATCTTTTCCAACAAGCAATGTCAAGCAAAGATCCTTCTGGGCCAGAAGGTCGCCTATCCCTACCATCTTGGGCAAGGCCTTCTCTTCTCTCTGGGCCTCAGCTTTCTCCCTTGCCCAGTGGTCTCCGAGCCTCCTTTGGATTCTGAAATTACTGAATGCTTTGTGTAGCAAGGATGTGTTAGTATGATTCAAAGACACCCTTTATGGAATGCTTTGGGGGCCACACATAGTTGACATTAACCAGTGATTGGATTCCGCCCTACCCCAAACACACACTTTTCTATCCTCAGGATCTTCCCTTCCATGGAGTCCTGGGTGCTTAGGGGTTCCTATCCCACCATTGAACTGCCCTCAGAACCTGGGGTTTTGCCCTAGATTCCTCCTTCTCTTCTCCAGACAAGTCATCAGTAAACTCCAAAGCCACATTCTCTAAGGATGACAAGCACCTCAATTTTTCCTGCATCAGGTTCCTTCTCTCAGCCTGGGGGGCCCTATCAAGTGGGATTGTTTCCCTTTTGCTGTGGATAACTAGAGTTGCTAACACAGTCTGGGCTCCAGGCGGGGTGAAGGCAGGATGCACTAAGATGGGCTGCAGCACACTTGAAAGATGGTACAGGTCAGAGTGGGTTGTGCTGGCAGGCAGGGGGTTAGATTCTCCCTGTTGAGTAGAGAGGGTGGGTTTGCCTTGAATTTGCCAGAAAGGTGGAGATTCCATAGGGTAGTCTCGGCAATGACCAAGTCAGTGCAAAGGAGAGAAAAGAACATTCCAACATATATACTTAGGAGGCTGGGAAGGAAGGGAGATCACGTTCGATTCTGAGTTTGCAGCCTGAGCAGGTCTCTGAGGCCCCAGAGAGAGGTTGTGGGATCCAGATGTGGACCGGGAAAGCAGGAGGGGGGTGGGGAGGCCAGGCAGGGGGTTGGGGGAGGTCTGTTCACAATTAGCCTTGATTTTGTGTGATGACATTGAAATTGTGGGCAAACATGAAAGCAGAGTTGTGAGGACATGTCTGTCCGAGCGGCCCGGGGATTAATCCGACGTGAAGGACACAGGCCGAGGGCTGGCACCACATGGAAGCATTTTGTGTGGGTTTTGATGTCCCGCCAGCTGAAGGGGGCTTCACCACTCAGGCTGAACGGGCCCTCCCCCCCCTCCCAGCCCCTTCAGGACTGGCGAGAGGTTAAGTCTCGAGCACCAGAAGGTTCTGCCTCCTGCATTGAGGCCCTCTGGTCTGCCCAGACCTGAAACCAACATGGCGACCCTGTATGTCCATGCAAAGCCCGGCATTGGGGAACCCTGTCAAAGGCAGTGATGGTGGGGACTTCAGGAGGTGTAGAGTGTGAGCTGTTTTCAATATTTCTGATGCTGAAATGGCTGGGATAACCCACACATCGGGGCCGGGCAGGTAGGCACCAGCTTTCTATCAGGATTCTGCTCAGATGGGCCTTGGTTTGGAATCTTGGAACTTTATAGATGAGGACATTTGGGGCCAGGAGGGCATGTGGGGAGTCTCAGAATCACCGACAAAAGACTCAGGTTCAGGGGGAAGCTTTTTTTGAGCTAAATCCAGGAAGAATGATCATTTTGGCATCTTCATCTGACATCTCACGTCTTTTTGACACCTATGGTGAATGTTAGGACAATGTTAGAGAGAAAGGTGTGCTCCCAGGTACAGTACCGGGCACCACTCCTTGCCCTTGGATGCCCTTGGGCAAGGATGCTCACCTCTGTTGGGCCTCAGTTTCCTCATCTGTGAAATGGGTTGAGTAACAGAGAATAATACCCTCCTTCCTACGATGGTTGTGGGGATCAGATACCCTAATGTTTATAAAATGTTAGTATCTAATAAATATCCAACACATAGTCGACACAGTATCCAGTCTAGTTGGAGGAAGTAAGCAGTCAATCATAGCTGGTGTGATTATCAATGTTACTGATATTCTGTTTATTAGTATTCTGAAAGGGTTTTGTGAATGGTGCAGCGTGTTACAGAACGTGTCTGTTGCTGAAATCAGGGCAAGGATTCCTCCCCGTCAGTTCAGGCCTCCCCCTCCAGACACTCAGCTCCAGCCCTTCAGCCCCGCTGTTCGTGACCCGGGGCCCCATCACGTGGCTGCGGGCGGCCTGCCAGGCATCTCCAGCCGTCTGGAAGCCCGGAGCCCCACTGATAGAGCAGAGGAGCGTATTTCACGCAGTCCCTGTGACCCCTGGAGGTCCTTGGGGAGACAGGAAGGAAGGGGCTCTGTTTTGGTGGGGGAGGGGTCAGGAGAGGCTCTTTGGTAGAGAAAAGAAGTTGATGAAATTTCAGGATGTACGGAGGTCAGCCTCCAGCCGCCTTGTCTAGGTTAGAGAAAAGTGATCGCCACCCCAAACACGCTTCTTAATGAAGCACAGCCTGTGCTTACAAGCTTTTCTCTTCCTGCCTTTTCCCTCTAAGAGGAAATTCTCAATCCTGAACACAAATGACCACAGAATTATATTTACATGTATTTATATTTGATAGTCACAGGTATTTAGAGAGCTGGGAGCCTGGGAGAAAGAGATGAAGGTTTCTTCTACAGGGAAGGAACGTGTGATAACTGAGCCTCCGACAGTATGGTAAAAGCAGGTGAAAAGACGTGAATAATGGTCGAACTTGTCTTACCTGGTGTTCGGTCTTTAAATCAACACAGAACCAAGTTTGTTCTGGGCAGTAGAATTAAATTGTTCAAAGCAATATACCTGATTTTCAAAGGAGATGTGAATGGGAAGAGAAGGACTGGAATGTCAGCTTCACTTGGTTGGTAGTGGGTGTTGGAGGTGGGTGTTGTTGGCTTGGGGCACAGGGCCTAGGGGTGAGTTCTAGGGGGCTCATTGCCCCACCAAATCAAATGATGAAACTTGCCCACTCTGGCTTGCTATAGGGAAGAATGCATGAGAGGATGTTAACAAGGCTACACCCGGGGGTAAATCAGAGGAGGGCAAGAAAGCCAGGCAGCATGGCCTTTTCCAGCAGGATGAGGCCCTGGGCCTTCTACAAAGAAGAGAAGTGAAGTGGGTCTCAGTGTCCTGCCTACTAGCAAGCCTGGCCCAGGTCCTGCCCCAAATCTAAGCAACCCACTGTGCCTCCTCTGTCCTGGTGGGGGACACAAGCTGAAGAATGGTGTCCAGGGAGTGTACAGCCCTCTTCCCCAGCATAATTTTTCAGATACATGGTCACCTTGCCCGGAGACCCTGTAGAAAAGGGAGGGCCTGCTGCCCGAAGGCATGGAGGCATTTCCCAGGGGGGAGGGTGGTGCGGGCTATCTGTGGCCCCAAATAGGTACACACCCAGCCACAACAGTAGGTGCAGCACTGAGAGCACAGCCTGGCAGGGCCCAGTGGGCACCTGGAGCTTGAAGCTAGGCCCCGTAGCCTCAGGAGCCCACAGGGACGGAGGCAGCGTGCAGAAGCCTCAATCCTATTAAGCTATTAGCTTGGGCATTCTGGGTCTGCACTTGGGGCTACTTGACAAAACGCAGCCTCGGAGCGAGCCCTGATCCCTTTAACCAGAGGGAATTGAGCTTGCCCTTCAAGCATCTTCTCTGTTATTACCAGCTTAGTGCTGCTGAAGAACCAACAGCAATAAATACGCCGCCAATTTGCTCTCTGAATGTTCTTATTTGCAGCATGCCATGCAGAAAAAAATATTAATAAAAAACAAACTCCTGGCTCCTAATAGGCTGATGAGGGCCTCTTTCGCGGGGCACCATTTGCCTCCTTCTCAGACCTCTATCCTATTTCTTTGTAAAGCAGATATCATCTGAATTAGGGGGCTGCTGGTAACACTCTCTTGGGGCTCTGACTTAAGATGGCTTGGGAGAAGGGGGGTGCCCTGTGGAGGTCCGTGGAATTGAGAA